AAGCAATTTTAGCTCTGACATTTTCCATCCTGAGATTGCTTGACTTTGCAACCTCAATGTTCCTTTCAATTCTAAAGCACATAAGCATATGCATGAAAATAGTATACAGGAAAATTAAAGACTGTTTTCTTCCTTAGGGAAGAGTCTGGAGTACCTCAACATGGCTGGGGAATAATCTAGAATCTTTGATGGAGGCTTCATTTGAATGAACCAGAAAGCAAGGAAGAGCCAGCAGTTTGCATCTGAGGTTTCAGCAGCCACATATGAAGGATATTTCAGAATTTCTGCTGCAAAGTCACTCAGAACTAAGCACTGTGCCATATGCTACTGTGACACAAACAGATTCATAAAGGTCAGCTCCTGTGTGCACATACAGCATGACATGTTTCCAGGAGAAGCATATCATAGGACAATATCTACAGCCTGATCTGTTAAAATAGCACTGATTTCTATAATTCTCCAGACCTAAGCAAGCAGAAAAAGACCTCAGTCTTCTGCATTCAGGAAAGCAGGCAACTAAAACAACTTTTCCCGATTTCCAACTTCCTCTTATCCTTGCAAGTTGAAACAAATTAATTAAAATAAGCATAGAAAGAATAAAAACCTAAAGAAAGACAAAATCTTCTGGAACTTGTAGAAGAAATTATTGACATCAAAAGCTGGTTTATCACGTCAACAATGCATGTTTCCAGCTGCTTTGCCAGTGACTTCTCTCAAGTCAAGATCAAACTTTTCTTAAACTTCAGCAGTCACGATACATAATTTGAATATATTTGCATTTTATTTCAATACTTTAAAAATGTAATTGCTTACTTTTGAATAATAGGTATAAAATTAGAGGTAGTTATTAGAAAAGTTTTTCTTACAGTGCCTTTTACAGTTGTGTTAAAAACATTTTTTCAGGTATATACTGAAAACTGGTTGCATTCTGCTGTTGCTCAGCAAATCTCTCTCACTCTCTTCCTTTCAGTTAGGACATAAAATTTTATCTGCTGAGAAAATCATTCTAAGCTATCTCCTTGGTGAAAATCTGCAAATACTTCACAAGATGGCAGGCAGCTAAAGGACACATCTCTTCAAATAAAGCAGGGAGCACCAACCATATGCCTAACTAATAGCACAGGAGCATGAAAAGAAAGAAAGAACCAGGTGTCCTGGGAAGCAGGATGTCACCTCCCTGCACACCACTGCTGTAGGCAGAGAGCAAGGCACAGGTGTGGCAGGACCAGATAACAACAAAGAGTCCCAGATATCTAACATTTGAGGACTCTAATGTACATTGGAAAACGACATAAAACCTACAGAAATAACAGCACACAGGCAAGGACTCTCACAGGTGCAGAAATATGAACAGAAGCTTGTGAGCCTGCTGGAAAAGGAAGGGGATGCTTCTACCTGGCTCAGCATACTTAACAGTGGGTCTGAGTTAGGAATGGACAGTCAGTTTTTTTCTGGAGGTGGGGGTTTTTTAGGGGTTTTTTGACTAAGTTTCCTCTGTGAGCAAACATCACTGTGGGGAGAAAATAAGTCAATCTGCTAATTTTTAATGCTAAGATGCCCTTCATCCCATGCTTGGGTCATGGTATAATCCCTAAAACAGGTAAGCACAGGCTTATAGAGTGATGAAAAAAAATAATGGAGAGATATTATCTTTATCTATAAAAGAGGTATTGAAAACTGAGGAGAAGAAAGCTTTTAATAAGTCTTTTTCATTTTACTAAGACTGTATAGAAGATTTCAAGTGGATAACACCTAGCAAAACTTAGGTAAATCAAATGGGTCACACACTTTCAATAGGGAGGCACCACTACCACAGGCACTAACACAGAATGCTGTGCTTTTCTGCCATGAGGAACTCCCATCATATCTGCACTTGGGCAGAGCAGGCCACATTACTGTTTTCTTCCTGGCAAGCTGTGGCAGCTCTTGCTTTGCAGTTTCCTGAATGACTGCATTAATTTGATTGACTCCAGATCAATGGTGTCTCTAAATAAGATTAAATTACATGTTCCTTCTGTCTGTATGTTACAGGAGATTACTCTTAGCAGAATCTCAAAGGAAGCAATTAGCTGACCACTGATGTAATGAATTCTAATTATTTTGTTTGTACAAACAATAAAGCCAGATTGTTTGTTTAGCAAGGAAGTGTAATTACTCTGAGCACCTGAGAAAATAAATCAAACAGTGCTACCTAGACCTGTAAGTAATGAGCCTTCGACTTCCTATTTATGCTAAGAATGCTCATGGAATATTTTCAGGTAGCTGAGAGCCAACCTTTGAAAGTAACATTTATCATAGTTATTATTGAGCACTTGCTTATGTTCTTGAGTGTGCTAGGTACCCTGCAGAAATATCCATCTACATTGGCTGTCACCGGCACCTGCTAAAAATTCACTGCAGCCAGTGCAATTTCCTGCAACTGTTTTTTGTTAATCAACAAGAAGTCGCTCACATCACAATCATTAGGCTGTTCTGCTCCTAAGGGCACCAGTGGCAGGGGCATATCCTCAGCAATGGATGAATGATCAGAAAAAAAGCACATTTCTATATATGGAGCAGGCTCTATTCTGCCCAACATTTGGCCATGTAGACTAGAAATGGAATAAAATCAGAAGGCAATCAAATGAGAATGGCTGCATCTGGGTCTTCTCCATGTTGATCTGCTGCTGCTGCAAAATATTCACAGCTCAAGCAGGAGAGACAAGCAGAGTCACTGGGGACCTTGTGCTGCAAAAAGCAGAGATCACTCCAAAAATACCTCAGCTTCTGCCACTTCTGCTGATTTTGTGTAACTCAAGAGCAGGAGGGAGCTGACAAATTAGAGATAACCTGATCCTATTTTATGCAAACTCACTGGATGTTGCAAGCCCAGTGATGCAGCCATCTGCACTTCCTGCAGATACCAACTCCTGAGATCAGCCATTCTCTGCAAGGTAGTAGGCTTCCTTTACTATAGCTTTGAAAGATATTCATGCATACAAAAATATTTTGCTTAATTTTTCTTTAGTTTCTAGCCACATTTTAGGTGTTAAATCCGAATTTAAAGGAAACTGCATAGCTTAAAATTCTATTGCAGGCCAGCAGTTGGCCTGGTTTTCCTCTTTTCTTAGGCCAAACAGTGATACACCCAAAAGGGATCAATATTATTTTCTGTCTCTCTTAAGTGTTGCTCAAAAATCTTATGGCAACACTGTCTCACATCCTGATAAAACATGAATGAGAGAAAAAAAAAAAAGACACCTCTGCTTCCAGCACTTGGATCTTGTTGTAGTGATACTGCTTAAATAGAGAATGAAAGCCCAGAGGTCAGTGAAATCACACTGAAGTGAGCAGGGTATAAGTTACAGCAACATCTGTACTGGCTGAAGGGAAACTGCAAATCACTTGTTAGTGCAATGGGAGCCATTTCCCTCATGCTTCTGAGGTACTTCAGTTCTTCAGTCCTTTGCACCCTGAGCTGTTTCTCTTTGTGTTCAGTAGCTATTAAAAACTCACAGAGTGGGTTTTTTTGTGCTCTTGCTGTAGGCATAATTGACAAATGTTTGCTGCCTGCTATTATGTTAAGCCAGTATCTTTGAAAATTAACTGGAGACTTCAGTATAATTTGGAGAATTTAAGGGTGAATAAATACCATGTACCCCAAGGCAGGTGAGGCAGATGAATTAAAAATGGCATCTAACTGTAGTGGAGACATGCTTATGCCTAAAGCTTTTGTTTTGTTTTTCCCTACAAACAACTTGACCCAACCAAACAACATGAAATCAGAAAATTTTTTGGTCAGTCTTCTGGAATATCCCTGTGAGCCTCTTCTAGGGAAAAGAAGCACTACTAAATGTTTGGCTGCCTCTACACCAAGTATTATGTTTTTCCAGCCTGAAAAATTCTGGTGACCTTACTGGATGAAACAATTAATGCTGAGACAGACAGGCAAGAACAGAAAGTCTTTAGGGGTCTTCAGGAAGGCTGAACTGCAGCCAAAACTAAGGAGAAAAGTGTGAAAGTTGGTCAGTACTTTGCTGGATAAAAATATTGGAGCTGCTACTCCACATTTAAATATTAGAGGAATATCTCATCAGAATGAGGAAACTCTTGATTTCTGGCTATGCTTAAAGTGCATGGTACTGCACCCTTTAAATATCTTCTACAGAGATGTTGCAACAGGAGAAATCAAGGCTTTGATATACCTTAAAATGACTGTGTGATTATAATCCTGCAACACATTATTCATCCAATCTCCTTTGTGTTGGGTGAATAAGACCTTATTCTATTCCTTCTAAAAACAAATGGAAGTGAGATGACAGTACAAAGTAGAACAATGTCTATAAACAAAGCAAATTGTGACAAAATAATTTGTTGACTTTATGAAAATGGGATCAGAAGTGCTGCTTGGTTTAATAAGAAATTGGCAGTATTTTGTTTTCTTTTAGTTTCTCCTTATCTCCTGTACTGCTTCTGTTTCTTATGTCATCACTTCAAAAAGAAAATCCATTACAGGAGGAATTCTACTGCTTAGAATAAGGATTTAGTCTAATAGCATTAGATAAATCTCTTGACTTTCTCTGGCTTTCTACATTAGAAAGGAGGTGGGCTGATTGATCCAAAGTGGTTTTTTTCAGAAGTGTCTAAAGAATTAGAAGTCCCATTTTCAAAATTATTTTAGGCACTTAACCACTATATCTTTAAGAGAGAGATATTTTTGCTCTTCCTTAGTCTCTTTTGAAAAATGAATTAAATTCATATATCATGTAGTTATATAAAAACTGAGTTTCCCTCCTCTCCCAGGAGATATTTAGCTTCTAGAGATACAGTAAGCTTAGTTCAAGAGTAAAAACTCTAACATTTTTCCATTTTAAAATGTGGAGAAAATGAACAAATTCTGTAAGAGTGACACTTAATAAGCAAATTGATTTCAGGTATCTTTAGAAAAGTTTAAAATAATTTTCTACAAAATGTCTGGTCAAACATTTTTTCAACTTAATAATAATAAGAAACTGTCTTGCCTTTCTGAATCTGTCTGGTTCCTCCAAAGATCCAGCACTCTGTTTAAAAGTAAAAAAAAAAGAAAAGAAAAGAAAAATAAGCATGAAGTTAAGATCCCAGAGGAGCCTGTAAATGAGTATTCACCACACAGGGGATGTTTCTTTCAAACTCATGGTCACCTGGACAGAGTGAACCAGCAGGAGATTTTTTTAACGGGCTTTCTAACAACATTAAGCAGAAAGATGACATGGTTTTAGCTTCTTGACTACTTGGATCAGATGAGCAGTTCTCCCAGCAATAGCTTTGACTTTACTGACACCTATTGACTATGTTAATGCTTACAGAAGGTTTTGGTTAACAAAGCATGAGTCATTCCAACCAATAGCAAACACAGAAATATGCTCTTTATCAATAAAAGTCATGCTTAGTTTCCATGCATTTTAAAGGATCCATGTTCTAAATAAGCTTTGGATTTCAAGACAAGGTTTCCCAAGGCAGAAAATTTTAAAACTACTCAAATTTTAGGTGTTCTAGTTCAGATATCTTTGAAAGCACTGGTATAGAGAAAGTACCAAATGCAAACCTGTAAATTCTAATCCTTTGATTATGGTATCTTGAAGCTGCTCAGATGATGTGAGTAGTTAAGCTAGAAAAATATTAATTAATAATTATATATGTTTATGGTAAGAACATGGAAATATCTTTAGCATGCCCTGGAATATCTTATATATGATAATAAATTCTGCTATCCTTACCATGTCTTATATATAACAACTCAGTGACTTCTTTAATAATTTTGTTTTTGCATTAAAATGCCTCCTCTTAATTTCATGCCAAATCATTAGCATATAAAGACAGTTTCAAAAGGGATTAAGTCCTTCTTACTTTGAATCAGTTCAGACAGTGACTATTCTGTCTCATAGCAGGAGACACAAGTAATGAACAGTGAACACATTCTTACTGCAGGAACTGTCAGAATAAAACTATGGAGAATGTGTGAAGAAAGGGCAAAAAATAGAAATCCATGTGTGCAGAACCAGGCACATATCCAAAGTATTCACACACACACACAAACATCTCTCAGTTCCCAGCTGCATGCCTCTTTTCCATTTATTATTCAGGTTTGAGACTTCCATCTCAAGAAATATTTTGAGCATAGCCACTACTCTTATTTAAGCAGACACACATGTATCCTGTTGAAGTGAGACTAGCAATGTGTAGGAAGCTGAAAGAGCACTGGCAGAGCTCAGCAGCTGTGGACTGTGTGTTGTCACCTACCTCAGGTGAACTCAGGGACTCTCTCAGCTTAGATTTGTAGAGCATCCATCGGTAACGCAGGTCCTCCAGGTCTTCAGAGCTCCCAATGACAGGATGAAGATGAAGGAGGTCCTCAAAGAGATGCTGACCATGAGGCACACGAGACTGCAGCTCCTAAAGGCAAAGACAAGGGTCAGCAGCAATTCAGGAAGGCCCCACTTTTAAAATCAGCATTTGAAAAAATAGTGGTTATGCAATAGTACATTTATTTTTGTTACTGTGTTTTTGACCTGAAATGATATGGAACTCACCTGCAGGACTCCTGTAGCCTTGGATATTTCTGTGTTTAATTTCTAACAATCCAACAGTCTAACAAATTGCCGTGGCATTTGACTGATTTGATACTGACTTTAATCAGCTTCTTTTAATGAACACCTTTGCCATACCACGTGGAAATGTCCAGCCCAACAACTAAATGCCAGGTGCCCCCTTCCCTTCCATTCTGGTTCTGGCAGACCTTTCTTAGTAGAAAGGATGAAATTTGTCCTAAATTCCTGAGCTTCATCTACTCTAGAGTCTCATAAAGCAGAGACCATAGTGTTTGAATTTTTCGTCTATTTGTTCTTGAGGATTTTTTGGAGAGTGGTGGGTTTTTGGTTGGTAGATGGAGTGCTTTTGGGTTTTGTTGTTGTTTGGATTTTTTTAATTCTGAAAGAATTCACACTTATTGCAATATTTTTCTCCATTCACCCCCTGAAAACTAACCTCAAGTTTGCTCTGGTGTGCCTTAATTTCCTCTGCAGAAGATGGAGTACCAGCAAGAATTTTGGTCAGTTTGGTGTTTTCCCCTCGTAGCCACTCTTCAAAGTCATGTAGGAGCTTCAAGTGGCTGCTTATACTTTGCCCTTCTCTCATCTTCTCCTGCGACACAGAACAATAGGAACAAAAAAACCCTTACTGTTATGTCAGACGTTTCCTCTGAAGGCCTGATTGTGAAATCTTAATCTCCAACATTGTAATCCACAATATCCCATGAAGACAATGAAATTTTCTTGTGAAGCTGATACGAAGGCAGACACAGAGTCCCCATCTCACCTGCTTATGGCTGGGATCGACATCAAAAAGGTGGAAAGCAGGTCTAGACATCCATCTGCTGTCCACAAATGCTCCTTTCTTCTTCTTGTCACCCACTGGTCTGTTTAACTGCCACTTTTTGAGGAGGCTTGAAAACACAAAACCAGAGATATCAGTGCAGTGGACATCCATATTTTGACTGGGGCTATGGGAGACAGCTCTGGAGAAACAGCACTATTGATGTTATTACTGTATCACTATTAATACTAATAACCCTATTACTATTGAAGTTATTCCCTACTGGAGTGTCTCACAGCTGCACCAGGACTCTAACTCTGACATTTCCAAGTGTTTTGTTCTCTTTTATTTAGGGGACTAAAAATGTTACCTTGGCAATATACCTTTATTTCTGGTTACAGGAGGCAGTACAATCAAACCTTCCTCGATTTTGTAATTTAATGTCAGAATAGGCACAAAAATTATGTATGAATACAATCATATATGCAGCACATCATTAAATATTAATACAGACTAGCAAATATGAGCAGGATTTCAACACTACACAGTGGAGGCCAAATAAATTAAGTCTTCATTTCCCGGCTAAAGAAAAGGTTTTTAGCTCCGCTTATACTTCTGTGGGTTTGCAAAAGGCACAAATCCCATTTCAGATACATCCTCCTTGGAGGCATCTTCAAAGAGAACAGGAAGATGAGACAGAACAGCATAAGTAACCCAGTCTATGCGAAATTTCCTCTGACACAAACTGGCAGTACAAGAGTGAGCCAGGTCATATAACACTGCCTACTCTGACTCGAGGTAAAGGAAGACTCACAGACACTGACGTTCACATAGTCTTAAAAAGGTTTTCTTAAAAGTAGCGATTTTCAGTTTACAAACAAATAAAATCCCATTTTGTTTCTAGCATTATGGTATGGTTGCTCACTTTCACAGCACAGAGCATAAAGCCTCAAGTGTGTCTGCTCTTATTGCAGTAAAGAGAATCCTGCTGAAGGGACATGAGGAAGACCTACATGACACTTACCCAGTTGCCATCTCCTTCAGTGATTTCCACGACTCTTTCAGCTGATCCAGCTCTGCCTGCACATGGGCAGTCTCCTCTGGGGAAGAATTCTCCATGACCAGCTGGCCATGAGCTTCCACAAGGTGCAGCTGGATCTCCTTATCAGGAAACTCAGCTAGCAGTCTCTGAAATGCAAAGCCCTGACAATTACTCCGAAGTATCCTGGCTAAAGCAGAGGCTATGTCAGACTGAGGGCCATGTTCCATCTAGGACTATGCTGGTTTTGTTGGCACTAGCTAGAACATATCTAGCAGGAAAAAAATATGCTATGGATTCTTCCAAAGAACCAACAGGTCAAAGAGCTGATGGGAAAACTTTGAGGGTGCAAGCTGTCAACACACCCCCTTCTGTAGCATTCCCATGGAAGATTTTGGTCTCCCATACGAAGGCAACAGCTGCCAGCTGCACTATCCTACTAGAGTGAATTTAGCATGCAAAGTACTGCTACCCAGGGAAAAGCTGGCAGCTTTGGAACTGCTCAGTTCAACAAGTAGAAGGCCAGCTAAAATGGCAGGAATATTCAATATATTGATGAGTACACACAGGCAAAGGTAAGTATTGTTCAGAGAGATCACCCTGACAGGAACGGACCACCTATCCTTGGATAATACTTTATCCATCTCTACACTTCTTACTCATTTTCACTGCTCTTGTCTGTTACATGGCCCTACATCCCACAGCACAGAGCAAAGCAGAGAGGGAACAGCAACCAACAGTTACTGAAGGAGAAACACACATCATTACTCTCCTGAATCAGGAACTCCTCACTAGAAACCCCCACTCTTAATGTCTGAATGCTGCAGAGTGAATAATTAACATTTTAAAATAAGATGCTTTTCTCACCTCCAGGTCTTCCAGCCTGCCCTCTATGTTCTGCTCTCCATCAACATCCTGGCAGGAGTCAATCTTCTCCCTGGTTATTGAGATCCACTGCTGGAGATCAGACAGTTTGTCATTATATGCCCAATGCTTCTGAACATGGTCTTCACTCTGCTGTATCATCACCTACAAATGATAAAAGCATGTCAGCAACCAAAGACAGACAAAAAGCACTTTCTTTACTGGCTCTAACACTATGATAGGCACAGAACCTCATGGGCAAAAAGGGAAAAAAGCAGCTATTAATGAGAGACACAAAACCTATCCTTTTAGCCTCAGTGGTGTGGAAAACATCTCCAAGCTCCTGCAGGCCTGAATTCAACCACACGGGGGGGTATTAAGAACTGGAATAACTCCCTTACTTCTCAGCTGAAAGGGAATAGAGAATATACATGTCTGGGGTTTTTGTACCCCAGTTAATATTAAACATATCTTACACTCCCTGAATCAGAAATTACTGTACAGACTTGTTTGGAAAAAGTTCAGTTCAGAGATAAATGGGATGATTGAGATTGAAACTAGAATTCTACAGGGCATATTCAGGTAACACTTTAACACACATAATTGTATAGTGAGCTACACAGATAAAGTAACTTTATGAACTCTCTGTCTGAAATTGCTCTGGAGGTTATATTATAGGTATGTTTGCAAGCTACAAAATGCCTCAGGAAAAAGCAATCGCAGCACTTTTCTCTCATTAACTTTTAGGTCACAAAGCCATAAAAACCACAAACACTTTGGTACAAACCCCCTCTCCTGTAATCTGTGAGGTGCAATCACCACCATGATAATATGAGTTCTTTTGGTTAGAAATCTCAGGCCCACTCCAAAACTAGTTTATACAGACATAAAATCTGTGTGGATGGCATCCTATCCCCAAGGGAAATCACATTACAGATAATAAGAGAATCCTGGAAGAGTTATTAAAGTCATAAGAATTCAGTGCCTTCTTCCCCTGAAATGAAAATATCTGTCCCTCAAAGCATGTAATGTCATATGCGCACAGATTTTTTTAAATGTTTTTAAATAGAAGTAACTGACAACTCCCCAGGTAACGAAAAATTTCTTTATGTTACCTCCAGTGATCTCTTCAGGGCCTGAGAGTCAGATGAAAGTTGGTTCATTTCATGCCTGTGAGTGGTATTTGACTGAACAAGCTTCTCTACCTCCTCCATGTGAATTGCAAGCTCTGCCAAGTCATCCTGGATCATCTGCAGAGGAAAAGACAGACTCCATATATGTAGTGTGCTAGGTATGGCATGGACTTTCACAAAACATACACCAAAGGTAGCTTCATTTGACAGTGTGGGGACAAAAAAACTCAGCAATAACCACTGTCATTAAGAAAACGAATTGTTTCAATGCCTCGAAGTAAATGTTTCTGAAAAAAATAGTTGGATGTCCTTTACATGTTACCAGGAGACAACAAAGAAGATAAGCTGCTGGGAAATGCCAAAGGAGCCATAGTCTAACCAGCAAAGAACTGTGGTGATAACACCCCTGTGGTCACCAAGGATGAAGTGCCACAGTACAGCTGAACCATAGCTCACCATGGCATAGTCACATCCCCTCTACATTCTCTTCCTGCTCTCTTCTCCCCTCTCCCAGCTATGTAAGACCACTGTATACCTTGAACAGACTCTACTGCATGTTGGACCCTTTGCTGAACCAGTTCAAAGCACTAACCAAAAAATTATCATCTCTTTCTGGCTTTTTTTTCTCTGATCTTGGACAGCTGAATCAGCCCGAGGAGTAAATCCAGCATGTGTCACAGCTAAGTGACAAGGTAAAGAGCAGAAAGAGGAGGATAAAAAGGGAAGTGGAACAGTGGAAACTCTTTTGAGGAAGTTAACCTGAACTAATCTATCTTGTGCAGTTTCACTGCCAGCAGAAAGTGCCAGGATACATTTTCTTTAACAATTAAACTAGTCCAAGAAGGTGTACCACCAACAGCTTCCAGCTGCTTCTTCCTTCCCTAAAGCTCAGTTTGCCAGTGCTTCATCTGCACTGCTTTAATTTCATTCACTCATGCTATAAACTGGACCAAATGAAATTATCTAACACACAATCGAGGAGAAAGGTATTGAATTCCCAATGCTTATATGAGCAAACAGGAACCACAGTCAGCTGAGGATAACATGGCCTAACAACACTGTAATGTACCTGGAGTCTCTGGAGTTGTGTCTTTTTACCCAAGAGGTCAGGCCGTGGTTCCTTCTCCAGATCTAATTTGGCTTTGATGGCAGATAATTTCTTCTGCAATGGTGCAAAACCAGCATCAAAGTTCTTATGTTGCAATATCAAATTCTAGATGGAGAAATAAGAAAACAGGTCCAACATTCAACACATACCCCTTGGCATTATCTTTTGCCAATATCTGCTTCATATTCAGAACAAATACTGAGCTACACTATGCAACAGACCACAAATTTATTTGAATATTTGATCAACCTAGAAAAAGGAATTATAATATATTTATATGTGTAAAACTGGCTTAGTAAAGACTTGATCTTTGTCTTTATCACAGGAAAAGACAGTATATGAGTTTTGTAGTTCACCTGGAGTTTGCTCTTGCTTTGCAGCAGACTTTTGTGTAGAATTTCTCTCTCCTTTGAAGCTTCAGCTACTTCTTGAAGGAAAGACTCTGCTTTTTCCTCACCAAGGACATTGTTTAGCAAATCTTTCTTTAGCTGTAATGTCATTAACTTCTCTTTGAACTGGGAGCTTTCAGCTAGAGCAGCCTGAAAGAGAAAGTTCTTCCAGTGAGATCATACAAAAAAAAAAAAAAAAATCATATAACCATTTTATTCTCAGACAAGTCACACAACCGAAGCAGTATGTCAAAGTCAGGTAAAAACAACATGCTGGGCCAACAAGGGGTAACAGAAGGTACCTGGACAGTGCTCAGTTAAAGAAAAAAAATCTTCCTGATAATGTTAGAGGCACCAGGGCTGTATCCATTTTGTGAACAGAAAGAGAGGGAAGCTGTACTGTGGAAAGAGTTGTCTGTGCAGAGGAGAAGTCTAAACAACTAATAGAAAGGACAGCTTGAATGCTCATCCTGAGGATAAATTCCATCCATGTTCACAGACACATTTAGTCTGGAGATCACAGGGATGGCAAAGTACAAACACACCTTGCTGGTGCACAAGCACAGATTGTGCATTTTAATCCCACGTCTCTATCACCACATAATTCTTTAACAGAGTCCACAAACTTTCCATCCAGGGAGATCAGGGCTAATGCTAAACAATATTATCATAATTGTTAAAAGATTTTCAGCACTTTATGCAGCTTACTTAGCTGACAACTCCAGTTAATTAAATGGAAGGTAGAAAATAAGACAATGTGCTACAGCTGGACCTAAGTAAAGACCTCCATCCCTACTGTGGGTTTTCCAGTTGCTGCTGCCTGGCAGCTGTGTGCAGGCTTGGTTAAACCCACATTTCTGAACCTAACAACAACAGCTTTGCTACCTCAATGTGAGCCAGTTCTGGCTCTGGAGTCTCCAGGAGCATCTGGACCGATGGCTTCCACTGCTCAAAACTTTGCAGGGGATTTTGGATCAGTCTTCTCAGTTGGGTTTCTGTATCAGTGCTCATTTTAGAAGTCTTGCCTCTAACACTGTAAGGATAAAGTGACAACCAAGAGAAGGATTATGAAGAAATCCAAGCCCAAACATTCTATTCTTCAAGGCATGAATTAACACAATACTTGGGTGTAAACCACATGTAACACAAAAGCCTCAGTCTGTTTTACTGCCTGAGCCTGGTGTTGCATACCAGCAGCTGCTCTGTCAGTCAGAGACATCTGACAAAACCTTATTTAGATGCTGTAGAACACATTTGTCTTTTGTGCAACTGTGTATCAGGAGCTACTTTGCTTTTCTCATAGCCAGCAGCCCCCCCTTGTATGCGATCTTTCTTGGCTGCTGTCACCAGTGTGATTTAACAAATCATATAATCAGAGCAGTCTCACTGACTGATGGGAGGAACAAGTCAAGAGTGTCTAGAATGTAACTGCAGTTGCCTGTAAAAAACTATGTTTTATTTCTTTAAAAAATTACATTAAAAAGTCTTTGATAACCATATGTTAACAAAAAAAGTGAAAAATACATTTTTATTTCAGATACAATTCTTTTATATTTTGCAGAACCACTTGAATTTATATTAGTGCATAGAGCTGATTCTGACAAAAGCCTTCTATTTATGTATATGTATCCACATACATACACAGCTGTATTATTGGGGAAAAAAATTTTAATCAGCACACCTTCAATGAATATCCAGGCTTCTCTTAAAAAGTCTTATCCCAAACACAGCCGAGTGACAAGGCCCAGCAGTGACACAACCCATGCAGCTGCCTCCTGCTCTTCTCAGCTTGTCTGACCTCCCACTTTGCAGAATCCTGCCTGACATGGCAAAATGCAGCCCAAACTTTATATTCACAGGGGAACAGTATCTTGCAAACTCACAAGACAGGCAGGTGAGAGCAATGCCAATCAGGATCAATACTGCCTTTCTACACAAACAGAAACAACCTTACCTGTGTCACTGGGCCACGACAGGGCTAAACAAAAGCAAGTTTGCAGAAGCCAAAAGCTCCACAAATAGAAAGTTCTGACTTGACACGTCCTCTGCCATTTGCTCTGCTGCCCCTGCCAGGCTCAGTGAGAAGCTGCCAGACTTCCCAAAGAAGCTGTGGAGAGAAGCTGGCAAAGGAGCAGCTGCCATTTTCTGCTCAGAGCAAGTTCCCTGCCTTCTTTGCTCCTCTTTCAGCATTGTTTACTTGCTAGTTTTAAAACTGAAATCCTTTCCCACAATGACCTTTTAGCAGGACAGCATACTGTGCACAGAGGGAAATAAGCTGGGATACAGGAAAAGAACTGACCTTCTTTTTTCCCTTAAAAAAATGATCCTTTCTTCTAGTTAGCAAAATTTGCTGCAGCTTCTTTACTTCCTGATTCCAGGCAGCCTGGAAACGGAAACACTGAAGTCTGGGAGAGGCTAAACTTTCAGAGTTTCCAACCCAAGGCAAGTTGAAAACAGGAATATGCACACAAGCTGCCAGGAGAAGGGGAATAAACTCTGCCAAGTAATTGCTAAGGCTGGTGAGTCACTGCAACAAACCCAACAAGGGAGGGCCATAATTCTTCTGGACCATTTACTACCACAGCTCCTGTCCTGATTTTCTAGTTGCTGGCATGAAAGGCAAGCAAAATACATAAATTATTATTAGAAAATGTTAATTAGATCAAATTAGCTGCCAACAATCTAATTTTCTTCAAACCATACACAACATTAATGATGTAAAATCATTGCTTGAAAATGACCAGGAGCCTCTAGCTCCTAGCAAATGGCTAAAATTACAGCCTTACTGAAACACAGAGGCAGATGTAATTAGCAAAAGCTTCTTTTTCTACCCATCACCTACAATTGGATGGCACATTACTTTTTTGTTAAGCCCCTGACAATCCCTCAGAGAAGATTCCCCCCACCTGCCCACCATTATCAGACTTCCCAGTACCTTTGATACTGGTGTATTACAGAGACAACACTCTCAGCGTGTGGCTGCACATCTTGGGAAAACCGTAGCAGATCCTTAAGCTGAGCCTTCAGCCTCTCAATCTTTGACTCTTCTGCAGCCAGAGCTGCTCTTGTTGCCTTAATTATAAAAATAATTAACAGATCACACCTTATGTAGCGTCTGGCACATGAAATGAAGAAGTAAGGCTGTGTCTCAGGGTATGCACAAATCCCCTTTCAGTGGCTTTTTTCTTGGTTATAAGGAATATAGTCTTTGCCAAAGCAGAGAACATTTTCAGCAACAGTTTTTCTCCAGCAGGCTCTCCCTCCTCCCCTCACACTGCCCAGCCTCTGCATCTGATCTGCAGGGCTCACTGTTTGAACAGAGTGAATCACAAACAGGCCTGGTTTCACATCACTGATTGCAATATATAACATGAGCTGCATTTTTGGAGCATTTTTGCATTTTTTCTTAACAGCATCTGCTTGCCTGAACAGATCTTTCTCAGAGACTCACATACAGAAAATGTTAATTCTAGGGTGACTCAGGGAAACAAAAACAACTAAAACCCATGCAAATGTAGCTGGATTGAACCAGTCTAAATTTTTTTGATCCCTTTTGCATATGCTTTTCCCAGTTAGTCCTGCATAGCTCTAGACATACAAACAGCAATGAAAAGCATTTTTTGAAAGTAGCAAAACCAGCCCTTGAGAGGAAACGCGTAGTAAAGATTCTTATCTACTTAATGTGTAACAAATTTTTTGCACTCATTTTTGCAGCAGATTGGTTTTGGTGTAAATACTGGATTGTTACAATCTTGGGACTTCTTAGTACTGATGATGTGTCTGCAAGTAAAGGAACAGAGGTACCTGTCTTACAGAGATGAAGGGTACTATATAGCAACAGTCTTACCAAGCACCTCAGAAATATGCGTCTTTGTGTCTGTGAATTTATATATACAGTGAGACATTAATTTCCTGCTTCTTGTTAAGTGAAGCTAATAGTGTTATTTGCTCTGTATTGTGCTCTTTTTGCATATAATCCCTTTGAACTCTAGGCACAAACTCCAGCACATCCTCCAACCCTGCTCCTTCTGTGCAGCGTAAGATGAAGGTTGGGGCAGTTGATTCCATTGCTGGCACTCACATTTTCCTCAGTGTGCCTCACACACACTCATACTCTTTCCTTATCATCTCTAACCAATGGGACAGGCACAACATCTGTTGGATGTTACTATGCACGTTCAGTCTATGGCTGAACTTGGTCCTCCACATGAAGTGTAACAACTTACATTGCATTTTTTCCAAAGAGTTACAAACTCATCTTCAGTCTTTTCCCCTTCCCCAGGGTCCAGATCATTTTCCAGTCTCTGTAGATCTGTTCTCAGCTTCTGGATGTCTGCTTCTAATTGTCTGACTTGGGACTCATAGGCACTTTCAGACTGTTGGATTTTGAGCAATCTCTCCTCCTCCTGACTGCTCAGCAGTTTCAACTTCTCTAAGGCTTTTCTTAGCTCTTCAAGTTCATCCTTCAGTCTTGCAGATCCAAGTGGAGAGGTATTCTGAATCACCTCTGCACACTGACTTTCAAGGTGCTTCCATTTTTTTCCACCACTCCTAATGTCTTTGGCAATTTCCTGCAAAAAAAAGTTAAATAAAGATTATCTGCAGGAATGGGAAACTGGGGAAAAAGCTGAAATCAGTAGGAAAAGAGACCACTTCTGATCTTTGGTTTTCACTTCTTATTTCAAAATGTCTTTTTTTTAAGTGACCAGAATCCAGGGTTAGTCATCTGACTGCCTTATGAATAATACTAATTGCCATTGATTCTGAAAATATTGGTTTTCATTAACGTTTATCACCCGAGATCCTTGACAGAGAACAGGAGCTGCAGGCACTAGACATATCTTAATAGTTGGATCTCAGAGCTTTTAAGCTGAACATTAAAAGCACTGGCACCTAAAAAAAGTATATTGTTCTCAAAACTGGTATTTTTATCACCAGCTCTAAACTCTCAAAAACTGTGAACCTTCAGGGTCTTTTTGGATCATGTTTACTAAATCTGATTAATAAACAAGATTCTCGAAGAATCACAAAATCCTTGGAGATGAGGCTTTAAGAAAAACAAATCAGACCAGTTTGTGACTCATACTGGAAGAACCATATATACAAACAGTTTCAGGACCTCATACAACTCATCTGCCCTAGCCCATGCTAAAATCACCATCTATTTTGTAAGTTTTATTCCTTTCTCAAGGATACCCTTATGCAGTTTGAGCAACACATATGGGCATGAAAAACACACAATCCTAACTCTTTGTTAGAGCTATATTGTTCAAGGACCTTCAGTGCCTTTAGCTTGTCCTCTGCTGAAGACTTGGTTTTTTCTCCAATGCAGCAGTTTAATCTCTCTGTGACACCATTCAGCCACGATTGAAACTGGTTGACATTGGTGCTGTAGTGCTCATGTTCCTTGGTTATGGTTTCAAGCAGTTTCACTCTGTTCTGTAACAAGAGACATCAGAAGTGGTGAGGACTGTGCTTATCTGGCTCTTTTTCCTTTACATTGTAACCCAGAATTTATAAACAAGACTCCTTTTTCACTAGCCCTGATAACAACTGGCCTCTACAGGAATTCAAAGTTTACCTTGAGAAACAGAACACAAAAGTACACAAAGGCTTGCTCCTGTCTGGATTTTGCTGCAGGCTCTCAGTGTCTAAGTCCCCAGGAAGACAAACTGCAAAGCCCTGTCAGGTGAATTTCTGGCTTTCCAAACCCTTCTACTCTCTCATTAGAAAAAGAAAAGAGACAGAAGTTTGTTTCTGATTTTCACTTTGAGAGACAAGCAGTTATGTTCCTCTTGTGGGTTAAAAGTAAAAACAAGCACATCTTCTTTATCTCTCAAAATGAAAAGAGAATGCAATAGAAGCATGAAAATTGTTTTAAATTGTTCATTATTTAAACGGACTGCATGGAAAATGACCATCACTTTCAATTGTGTAGTCCAGGCACTTTTACACTTACTTAGCAGGTCACAAACTATTCTGTGGTGGTATCACAGACTCCGGAAGCAAATTCAAGCCAATGGAAAGCAGGCTTCATTTTTCAAGTTACTGCCTGTGCACCCTATAACCAACAGTCCCTGAATTATCAAGGACCTGCACACCATGAGTTGGTGCCTGCTGATCCAGTCTGGCACTCCTCACAAGTCAGGGTCACATTTGTTCAGACTAGCCTTGTTTGCCAGCCCAAGTTCAGGCCTTGTTGATTTTGACACAAGCCACCTGTTCTGTTGTTTCACTAGTATAATATTCAACCAAAGTATTATCTCCTGCAAAACCAGACTGATTTTTTCTTGCCCTTCTCCAGTTGGCATGGAGAGCGACTGAAGAACACTGTGGCTACATTAGATTAAAAAAAAAAAAATTCCTTGTGCAATCCATTTAGTGCTTGCAGCATCCTTGAAAACAGCCTTTCCTCTCACAGACAATGGGCCAAGTTTCATTTTGTGTAATACAGGACACATCACTGGCCACTGAGTAGCTGGCCACCCTCCACGGTGGGTAGAGCTGCAAAGTCCCCTTTGCATTTCCCTTGTGCCTGTGAGGCTCTGGACAGGTCCCACACCTGCCAGCCTGCCCGAGGTGACAGTGAGCCATCTCCAATGTGTCAGCCTGTTCTCCAGCCAGGCCAACAGGGATCCCCCATGTGCTGGGGGTGGCAGTCCCTCTGGGACTTTGTCCTTCACCTTTGGGACAGGTTATGCCCATGGTGCACTACAAAGTCACAAGCAGAACACCACCAGTCTGTTTTTCACACTGCCACGTCAGTCTCTGCTGACTTTTGCAAACCCTGAGTGACTCCCCTCAAGTTAGTCGACTTGCTGTGGGACAAAAGAGGGACAGCTAAGGGACAGCTGTTTCCCATGAAGGATGAAATGCTGCCCATTTATTAGAGCATGACCTTTAATAGCACCAGCCATACACAGGTTTGGATGAAACCAAAAGGTAGAATTATAACTGCAGAATTCTGTGGCCAAGATGTATCCAGCAGAACACCTCATTTGCTAAATCCCTGTGTATCAATTCTCAAATCTTTAGAGGCTAAACAATTCATGCTTTGATCTCAGGTCAAGGACCTGAAGAAGACAACCTTATAGCAGTGTAAAAGGGCCACACATCAAAGTGAACCAGGTCAGGCCAAGCTTATTGACTCCAAGGAATTAGATTTATTTGTTTTACTGGCAGAAGCTCCAAAAATCAGAATAACAAAGCAGAGATGTTACTCAAAAATCTTAGGCTGATATACAGGAATTCAAAAGGAGGTCAAAACAACCTAGCCTTGGCCAACTAAAACAAAGGAATAAACAGTTTGGGTGCACTGCTGGTCTCTGAGGTCAAGAAATAGATGCCATGGATCTGGACAGACTGTGCTAGTTGTCAGACAAAAGGCTTACAAAGAGCTGGCTGAGCCCTCCCCCCACAAAAGGTTAAGCAGGAAAACTTTCCAATGATGAAAAATAAGGTATCACTTGCTCCTGTTAGGTTAGCTGTTTGGGGAGCAGCACAGTGTGAAATTCAACATCCACATGGACTAGGCCAAGGTGAGGAGACATGAAACAAGGACATGGCCCTGCAAAGAGTAAGAGCACAGACAGGAAGAGAATGGGTTTGCCATGGGCTGCAGAGAAAGGGATGTGGACAGAGGCTTAGGAAGCCCTCTCCCCTAAGCTCCCTTCACAGTCAGTGAAGGCAAATGAGCTTCCTCTGGAAGGCAACCTAGAGCACATAAAGGAAGTTCCTACTTTAAATCCCTCTGTAGTGTCTCAAGGAGAGCACAGAAAGCTCCTCTAGCCCTTCCTGGTGCTTTTAGTCTTGTTGTCCTTGGGGTACCTTAGCAAACTATTCTAAGTATCTAGGTTTCTGTTAACAGAGACAACATGGACTGAAACTAATTTGATGTGCTCAGAAGTATTTGATATACTTCCTAAATATCAACATTATGTATATCATAATTTTTCTTACTATCTTAAATAGTCATTTATGCTAAAACACAAAACCATTTACCTCTGCATGTATTTAATTTCCTGGGCAAGGGAAAGCATGTAGGAAATGGCTGCCACATCTAAAAATATTCCTGTCAATGTAATTAAAGGATATGCTTTTAAAATTTGGGAATGTTAAAGACACATGTTAGCACTAAGAGAAAAAAAAACAAACCCTCCCACCATTTGCTCATACCAGAGAAGCAATATCACAGGCAAACCATTTAAGAAACACTGTCCAAGAGCCTGCCTTCTGATAGAGCTGGACAACTGCACAGGGTCTAAAATTGCTCTTCAAACACCAGTGTAATCTGCAAACACCAGCGAGCCTCCTCTGCTCAGGCATTCAGCTGGCATCTGCAAGTCACATTTAGTCTGGGCTCTCCTCGTGTGGGGCCAGAGCAATGCCCTTACAACTCCTGTGGCTCTTTCATTCATTCCTCCTGCCCCTTGGAGGTGGTGGCAGGGTTTCTCTAACAAGTGTTACACTTTCCAATGCAATTCCCGGGGTGCCTGTAACCTTGGCATTAGATAATAAACTCCTCATTTGCTTCAGTTGCAAAATCCTAGGCTTTTTAACTCCCTTCTTTGTTCCATATGTCCTGAAAGAGGGATTTCTTAGCTGGATTCTCTCACTCCATCCTTCTATGAAATGTGGTATTTATAACTAATGCCAAAGAAAAGCTTTTTCTAGTGTCTCAGTTGGCTGGAAACATACAGACATATTTTGTCTAACTAGTGTGAGCCACTTCCTGATCTCATTTACACCAGCACATATCCAAGTCGCTTAGAGAAATCACACTATGTAAAATCAGTCTCAGAGAGGTCACATTCTGGCTTTGAGTATTCAAATTACTTGTTTGAAAGAACAGCTTTATTAAAATAACTAATGACTGTCTCCGGCTTCAAAACCAAAGACAATTTTGGTGAGGAGGGAGTGAATGATAATTTTAAATATCAATCTAGATAGACAACACCTGAATTCCCGGGAACCTTCTTATTTGTATATCCAGATGCCTTGTACTCAACCCATCTACCTTTAAAAATAAATAATCAGTGTAGATGCCCGAGTCTGCTGATGGCTTCTCTGTGCCAGCTGCAGATACAAAATTTCCAAATATACTCTAGACTTTGGAGAGACATTAGCATTAGTTGTGTATTTATGGCTAGAAAAGTATCTGAACTACATGCTCACAAAAGATGCCAACTTAGGGGGTTTTTGGTCACTTTTGGGGCTTGGAGTATTTTACTTCAAGAGAGAAAATGTATCTATGGAGCAAGCAGGGCAATGGAACAAGCGTCCCAATTTGTTGTTCTTCCAGTGTGATCTGAAGTTAACTTTGTACAATGGCACCCAGGGAGGGAAAGCATCCATCACTGCCAGGCTCCAGCTCTGGACTGATGTGTATGTGTGGGAATTAACTGAAGGCAGCATTATAACAAAGGCAGAGAGCAGAACCAATGTAACGAAAATTGTTTCTATTTGCACCAGGCAATTCCGGCCTATGAAATTCCTGGAAGTCACTGTGAGCAAAAATTAGGGTTTAATTTCTATATGTTTGGTATAGATGTCTCTCTCTATATATATATATTTAAAATGTCCCTTTGACTATTTCTATTGATTTGGTTAGTAAGAAATTGAATTCCTCTGCTCATCCACAGAAGTCTGCCCCTCAGCCATACCATATGATCTAATCCTGTCTTTATTTCAGTTTTAGAAGTGAACAGTACAAGCAGTTTCTGAAATCTTTACTCAGAAATAGGGTGAAAGGAAATCACTGGTTCTGAAAGATGAAACAGGATGCCTTACACCAGCCTATCTAACAACTGTTCAAGCTGGAAGATTAGTATTGGAAAAGAATTAGTATTTGTGTGAATGAAAATCTTTCAGATAGTGGAACTGGCTACTGAGCAAAGTGTTGGGCCAGAGCTGACTCCCACCTCCTTGTTTCCCAGTTCTGCAGGCAGGGAGGGCAGTTCTGGGTCTCAACTAACACTACTTCCTCCATCAAGGCTGTGTCCATGTAATATTCCCTGGCTCTTGGAGTGGGTACTCTGCATCTGGTTATACATGAACCACTAATGTGCTGAAAGATGAGGAACAATTCAAATTTATGCAGAGATGACCTAAAGCAGTATTCACTAGGTCACAGCAAGCAGCCTGCAGTTACTTTACAGCAACACACTACAAAGCACCATGTAAGAGCATCCCAATTAACATCAGGACAACAGCTCATCTTGGGACTTGACAATTGTTTCAAGCGTTCCACTGACTGAAAGAACAGGGGTCCTCAGCTCTGCTTCCTTTTTCAGTCCTACCAAGTAAGTCCCATCACTCAAGGAGCAAGTAGCAAACAACACTATAGATTGAAGGAATTTGAACACCTCCCACTATTTATAAAAGTACCTGAGCTTCTTGTCTGATTCCTTCATATTCCACCCTCATTTTCTTCTGAGCATCCTCATCAACGCTGGAGTCACCTATCCTGCTGAACAACGAAGCAGCTTCCTCCAGCAACCTTTCCAGCAGGACTGACTGATTTAGGACATCATTCTGCAAAACCTGAGCATGGCTCAGCTGCCACTGCTTCTCCTTTAAGCCAAGCTGCAACTCAATGTCAGGCTCCAAGGTCACTCTCATGTTGTGAATCCATGTGTAAAACTCATCTTGGGCTTTCAGGTACTCGCTCCAGTGCAGCCAGACCCACTCAATGCGGCTGTTGGGAGAGCAAGAGAGAGGAGCTAGATTAAATGATGATGGGAGCAGGGGAGACCAACAATCTCAAAAGACCTTCAAAGCAGTGCACAAGGATCCCAGCAATTTTAACTTGCTCTGACTTCGCAGGGTTTGGATTCATTTCCCAGGTCCTCTCTGCTTTGGGGAAGATAAATACCGTGTAAGGTCCCTGTTCCTGACCAAATTCATCATTCCAGACCATGAGGTGGGTGGGCCAGCTTGTGAAGGCAGAGCACTGATTCTCGCTCCCCACACAGTCCCCAAAATGCTCACGGGATTGAGATTAGCAGGGAATTGCTATTTACAATTCAGGCAGCAGAGAGAAGCAGGAAGCCCTTTATGAAAGCACTGGAGGAAACAGCTGCCTCAACACACCCAAGAGTATGTTTGTCTTACCTGTGGCAGTGAGTAATGTATATGGCTGTCTCTTCCCACAAGGCTTTAATGTCTTTTAGTTTAGAGAGCACCTCATGCTTCTTATCCTCACCGATGCTGCGAAGAGCAGCATCTGCCTTCACAAGAATCAAATCCATTTTCAAGCTGCCTTCTGGTTCCAGTGCACGTATTTTCTGTGAGAAAAACAAACGATACTGAAAGCATGGAAAGAAAACAGGCATAACTGATGAAATGTAAACTTTGTTTCTACCCAGGAATCATGAACTCCTAGAATAATTTAGGTTGGAAAAGACTCTCATGATCATCGAGTCCAGTTGTTAACACGACACTACCACGGGATGGAAACATTTCTATACAACACAGACAATTAACCCTTCCCACCTAACTCCCTGCTGCAGTTTCTCCTGAAAGGAAAATATGAATGTTTTTTCAGGCATGCTTGTTCTTAAACATCCTAAAGGACTGAATTTAAATGAAAACCACACAGCAGTTGAAAAACATTTAAGTTAGCTACAGAAAACAAACCATCCTCTATGAAATGCCTGTGGCTGTGTTTCCATTGCTGTTATAAGGTGACAGCACTGTGTTGCCACAGGCCAGCTGTTCTGCCCCACCTGCCAAAGCACAAAGAGGCAACCTCCACAGGCTACACTGCAGCCTCTCCATTTTAAGCTATACTATAAGAAATCATGAAGCATATTGAAAAGGCTTCCTAGTGCAAATAGAAATTGGCTTAGAAAAGAAGCCAAGAGAAATTAACTAGTGGAATTTTCTGCCTGCTACCAAATTTTGTTTCAATCTTAAATTGCTAAGTTATGAATTGGTGAAAATGTGTATCTTACGTAAATAGGCATGCCAGGAACTGAAAGGGGAGTCATCTAATTTTAAGTATCCAGAGGTAGGAAAATCAGCATAAATTCTGTACAATTTAACAGATTAATTATCCCCCAATTTGGATGTCAGCTTTCAACATTGCTTTATCCAAACTTCTGATACTATCAAATTAGCTTTTCTTGCTGCTCTTCCATAAACTCCTGGCAAACTGCAGACTTTCCAGTTTGAAGAAAAAGGCTTCTACAATGAAAACATCCAGATTTTCAAAATCAGTGATTACATTTGGTAAAACCAGGCCTATGGGATTTGATTTAAAAAAAACCAAAAAACACCCATGTCAGTTATTGCAAAGGTGAGACAAGTAAAGGGCCTTTGAATCTCCAGTCCCACATTCTGGGAAAAGCAAAGCCTGTGCTTTTGGCATGTAGACAGCACACCTGATGTGATGTATAAACAGTTGTTTGGAGAAATTATTTCCTAAGAAAGGTGTGATCAACAGACTCCAGGGAAGCAGGACAAAGGGCAAAGCAAAGCAAGAAAATATAAGCCACAGCTATCATCCAACAGGTAAAGTGTAAGAGTAAAGCTTAGCCTCATATTTTTCCAGTAATTAGAAGCAAACTATAGCTGGAGAGAAAGCAGTGGCAGTACAGTCATTTTTCTTTTTCAAATCTGTTTTTTACATGGTTTGTCTCATTGGCTGACATTTTCATTAACAAATTAACAGAAAATAAACCACAGGAAGGAAGTATGAAAAATAATGGCAAGCCAGGTGCAAAAAAGGAACTGAAAACTGATCACTGGCCAATAGGTGAAGCAGTGAGCACATCATGAGGACATCCGAGCTGGAGACAGAAGCCAGGCCCAGAAACGAGGCAGGATGAAGGAACAGGAGGTGGTTAAGGTACACACAGGAAGAAAGAACTTGTTAATCTTTAGAATGATGAATCTCCAAAGTCTGAGTTGAAAGAATCTCTTAAGATGATTTTTTGCTTGTTACAGACCTCCTCTAAAGCCCAGAAGTAAACAGGCTTCATCAGTTCAGACCATAGCACATCACCACAAATCTCTAGACCTTTTAACTTGTTATCTCTGCCATTAATGTTCCCCCTTTGCCAAACTACCATTCTTCTACTTGAGTTCCTGTGTTTCTTGTGTGTTTCTTGAGACTGTACACATCATAGTTTCCCAGACAAAAGAAAAGGGTGAAAATAATTCAAGGTCAGAAAAATAAAACTATAGACCAAGATAAAATGCTTCAGATATTTATGACTGGCATGCAAGTCTAGCCACCATCCATCACTCCATGAACAGTCTCTATATTATGCCAGAGGCAAGATCCATCCCCCAATAAACCTCAGTTAAGGAAAAAGGCTGAAGGTATCACTGTAAACTACCTCATCATCCATGAAAACCTGCAAGGTCTTTTGTTAAGCTTCAGAAGAGGCAGGCCAAATATAAGTAGACACACAAAAGGAGAGACTTTGGGGGAAATAACAACAGGAAAGATCTTGCCCTTTAAATTAAACAGATTACTTGGAATTAAAGGCAATAAAAGTATAAAATAATTTCAATGTTAGTCATAGAAACATCACCACTCCCTCCAATCACAAATGGTACAAACAGGAGTGTTTCCTTCTCTGAGATTACAAGACCTAGATAACATCTAATGAAACTGAAGTTAATGAGTGTGAAATCACTGTAGGAGAGCAGGCACAGTCTGCAACAGGATCTCTGTGAAAAGAGTTATACAACAGATTAAGTAAAACCAGGAAAAAAATGAGAACTTTAACCTTTTCATTAAGCAGATTATAAAGGGGATTTGTAAACCCTGTTATCATCAGGGTTATGGAAAAGGACAAAGGAATTACTCTAAAACAACCCATTACCAGGACAATGCAATCTTTTCCTATCAGTGCCAGAGCCCTGGAGGGGATGGAACACTAACATGATCTGATTCTCTTATACTATATGCTGGTTGTCTGCAAATTACTATGGTAATTGCAAGCAGCAACCAAATTGTTCCAGGCTTGAGAAGAGCGTAAACATTTTAACCTGCCAAACCTGCTGCTAGTGCTCCAAATCAAACTGAAAAGCCTATGATAGCAAATTGCCATCCTCTTCTTCTACATCTGTAAACAATTTGCAAATAGAAAATTAAAAAAGAATACTGATGTGACCCCATCCACACATCCAGACCCAATGCTCCAACAAATAGGGGCAGCTGACAATTCCCTAATGGAAAACTCCTGATCTCACAGCAATAACTGCTGTAACAATGGCAGCAGTGAGAGCCACCTCCGAATTCCATTGCTCTTCCCTTACCTCAGTCTCTCTCAGTCTGGCTTCTAGGGCAGATCGAGGTCCTTTGGTGTTGTCATTGATCCTCAGTCTCTCTTGGATGGCCTTCATCCAAGCTTCTGCATTCTCCACACTACTGTCAAATTCATCCTGTAGCTGCTGAGTCATCGCATTTGAAGAAGCTGAAAGGAGAGGAAACAAGGAGGTAAGCAGGTTTTGGGTAAGACCTGAACAGGAATGAAAGGCAATCCAAAGGAGCAAGGGAGAAAAGCTGATGATGTTGTGGCTTTCCTTTTGAACAATAATACCAAAAACTGTAGCAGTATCGCTGTTCAGTTGAGCACAGAGAACATATTCACCCTGCAGCTTTCCCAAATGAAAATATACCAGGAAACAAAAAGAAGGTGGAGAACAGTGGGAGGCTCCATTACAGTAACCAGATTTAATTCAAAGCTTTTAAATGAGATTAATTTGGTGTTTGTGGTGTATTCCAGATTAGCTATACCAAACACAAATACCTTCTGTTTCTTCCCAGAGTCATGCCAGTGGAAAACTCTCCCAGTGCCCTTCTGGGCTCATGTACTGAGCACCTGACATCAGACTAATGAAGTACTTTGGCATATGCTTAACTTGGAGGTGTATAAACTGCTGTTGTAGAGGTCTTACAGCTGCTGAAAACAGGACCAGATGCTTAGATGCTCAGTTAACTTCTGCTGAGACCAGGCAGAGGTTACCTGAGTGCACATGCAGTGAGTCTGGGATACACAGACAGCAGGAACTGGACAGCAACTTCCAAGACAAACCACGAACAAGCCTTCACAGGTGATTATCAAGACTGGGGGATGTCTTCTTTTGCCATCTTTTTGACTCCATACCGGGCTCCAAGCTTTTAATTTTCCTCTCCCTCTCTCCTGTTGCCTATTCCCAATCAGCAGGGATATATGAGGCTTGGTTGCTCTGTTGATGTCTCTGTTTAGAGCACAAGCTCTCCACTGCCAAGACAGCCTCCTTTGTGCCTGTAAAATAGAGCAGAGCCATCCTAGGCTCACCCCTAGGACTGCTGGACTAAACTTGACTAATAAGGACGAGCCATAACAGAGCACCCTGCAGGTCAGCTCCACTGAAGTGAACAGAACGAGTGCCACTGACATTCAATGGGTTTGGATCACATGCTATAACTACTGTCAGACAAGCAGCCAGTGTTTTGTAGAAAATAAAATATTCTTCCTCTTTGTTATTCATCATGGAAAGATTTTTTTCAGCACAAAGTTTGAGATTTAATTACTGAACCAAGTTTGTTGTGCAGAATTCAGTTCCACAGAGCCACTCAGTTTCCATGAAACAATTCATGTGGAAGAAAATGCTCAGTGTGAGAGGCAGAGCATGGCTCCTGGTGAAGCTGGACCAATGGTGTTTTGCAACCACTATAGCTCTCAGCAGCTCAGTCTTTACAAAGGAGAGCTATCCTTCTGCTCACAAGCAGAAAGATCTCCACTACCCTGCCAATGTTCCTTTACACGAGGTAAAAGGATTCATGCAATATTAGAGGTCCTTCCCTGCAGCTCCCAGTGTGTTTTCTTCCACATTAGACCAGAGAAAACAAAATGTCAGCATTCACAACAGTCTGAATTGTTGCTTCCCAGCTGTCATCAGGCTTTCTACTCAACAGGTCCCAGAACAGAACGAAAGAACTGCAGAGCAGCTACTCCACCACCTGTGGAGACAGCTGGAGCAGAGGATGGGGTCAGACCTCTGTGTGCAGACCAGCAGAGCTGCATTTGCATGAAAGAGGGAATTCCTCCCTTAGTGAGACCTGTCAGACTGGACAGAATCTAAGGCTATAGCTCTCAGAACTTGAGAGTAGCTTTAAAAAGACAGACCTCACCTTGAAAAGTTTTAAAAAAATAAATCAGCATATACTGGATTTAGTGAGAGTGGTGTGGCATGGGGCAGCTACTCCCTCTTTCAAATATAAAAAATATGACAGGATATATAATACAAGCTAAAATCACCGACTTACATCACCAGAGTCCTAAAGATGAAGCCAGCTAAGGGAGTAATGTTATTCTCAGTGGATTGCTAGATAGCTGTGTCCTTCTCCAACTATGACTGGTTCAGAACTGACATTTCTACTACAATAATCCAGCTCTCGGAAGAGAGCACATATCTCATTGCAGCTGAAAAAGCAACTCATTTTCACATTAACATTTATCATTGTATCTGTCAGTTGTAGAGGGGCTGTCCCCTAAAACTCCCCTTGTTACATACGTGCATACACACATTTCTAGGCAAACAGTTTCTGAATGCCCAAGTATGAGCTGTGGTGATTTCAAGTTATGCTATTGTGAAACAAAAACTCACAGTGCATTTGCTGGATAGACCCTGACAAGAAGTGGCACTCATTTCCTAGGAGAGGTTTCTATTCCTGGCAACATTCATATCATATTTAAAATTGGCTTCAGTACTCCAGTCATGGAGTAGCCAATACAGAACATAATGTTATCCTAGTCATACTTTCACAAAAAGTTGAGGGCAATCTAACATGGTTAAGAAGCAGTAGAAAACCTACTGTCCTCCAACAGGAAGAAAACCCCACTCACACTCTGCCCTCATTCTGCTGCTCTCTGAGCACAAGAAATTTCTGTCAAAAGCCTCACAGTAACACAGCCCTCCCCCAACCCGCACACAGTCAATCCACATAAGCACTCAACACAGGAAACCATAAAAAAAAGTTACTTCACTATTAAGATCATCAACTTGCAAAGGAAGAGAAACATATTGCTACTCCAACTACAGACATAAAACATCATTGACTGATTTTGACCAAGCAATTCCTGTATCTAGGACCACAAAGATGATTAAATTCATCATGGACTCAATGCTCAAGTGGATTTCATTGTAGCTACAACCTGCAATATCTGACATAGATTTGGGCTGCCTTTTGAGACCTTCTGTCCTTCCTCTGTGCAGGGCAGCCAGATGCTGGCTGAAGCAATCAGCTACAACACCAGATTTTGCTCTGGAACCCTTCCCAAGCAGTAACAGCATGATTTATACCTGCAAGGTAAAAGTATGATTTCTGACTTACTGTCTGCTTGGGAGAAAAAACAGCTGCTGTCTATTTGAGATATGACAAGATCTGTAACTCCTTTGCAAATTCTTCTAAAGCTGGGATTAATGATTAGCAGATAAAAGTTAACCAAGCAACAGCATTCACCCCATTTCTGTTGCATCACTGGAACTAAAAGATTGAGCAATACTTCTGGACCCTGATCAGTACAAAAAGGACAAAGGAGACATAGTGGCTCCTGGAACAGACCTAAGCTGTAAAGCTGTGCAAAGCCACCATTCACCTGTCCCTGTAACCATTAAGGACACCTGTACAGTGGTGCAACAGCCCCTTATCCCAGGCTCAGTCTCTGGGACTCACAATGCCATGCAAAGTCTTCCCTTAATCACCAGAGAGATCCTCTGAGCAATTTGTACAAAATTATTTTTCTCACAGTTATTTCAAATGCATCCAGCTGTTCAAAACTGCTTTTCACTTAATGCCACGTGAATCAGTGTATTAATTCATACTGTGGAAAGTGCATTTACACTGTAGAAATCACTTGGCATCTCTGTAGATGTTACTAAATGAGGGAAATAACCACATGTAATAAATTCTGGCATAGATAATGAGATGGTGAGCAAAACCAAGTTTTATTCGTCCAGATGCAGTAACAGACACCGTTTGGAAGAGGGAAAGGTGAACACCTGACACAGCACACACTTGTCTCAAGACAGCATCACTCCTCTTCCACTCGCTCATCGAAGCACAAAACCATTTAGCACGGAGGGAAGTCAGAGTACTGCAGCCTACCACCTCTTCCCAAAATCCTGGAGGAGAAGGGGCAGCAGGAAGGATGCTGAGGGGAACACACACTGTACCCCCAGCTGCCCACAGGCTGAATACCCAACATGAATTAATGAGATCCAAAGCAACAGCTATCTGGGTTTTGCTTTTAAAATCTGCTCCAATTGTGCTGGGCTGGGCTGAGGAGATGCAGAGGCAGCTTTGTTTCAGCTGTGGTCTTGGAGCCATCTTGCTGAAAGAGCAGATAAATGAATTAGCTGACTGCTCTGCATTACAGCTCTGGGAGCCATGGACACGTCTGGGTTTCCACTGCAGACCCTGACACAGACACAGGCAGAGGTCACCCCTCGTGTGACCCGCGTGGCTCCTGCTGGGCCAAATTTCTCTGAGCAGCTCTTCCCTAAGTACAGCCACTGCAGGAGCCATGCTAGTGCACCTGATAACTCTTCTGGGACATTGCAAGATTTACTTCTTTAGTATTTGCAATACACTACTGAGAGCTTTTAAAATCATTTTGCAAGTGCAGTGTCTTTTTCATAAGATTATCCTATTACTTTGCAATGTTTCCTAACGTACTGTTTTCTCTCTGCCAGTCATACTGAGGTTCCGTTTTTTGGGTTTTTTTTTTTGTTTTTGTTTGAATCGAAATCTCTTAAAACATTTCTTACAACCACTCCCATTTTACACATTCTTTTAAACCCTACATTTATCGAACACAGGCTTTTAAACGGTTTCAATATGTCTCAGATTCTTATATTCACATACTACTTGACTAGTTTCCAGAATCCAGTTGCTACAAAAATAAAAGTACAAAAATGCTCCAGGAAAATTCAAACCATCCACCATTCGGGAGACTATTTTCCAATTATTGAAATACTTCAAACTTTTCATAACTCTTTTCATTTGGTTCTGGGATTGAATGTGAAAAAAAAAAAAAAAGATTTAAAAAGCCCACTGAACTGTATCAAATTTTAGAAAAATGATGAGTGTGGAAGCAATTTTGGTTCTGGTAATTGGATCTGGGATAATTTAGTAACTTTTCAGCTTCCTTAGATACTATAAAGAGAGCTCTGAGGAGGCACAGAGCTGGGAGCTCTGTCTGACTGCTTCAGATTGGAGCAGAGGTCAAGAGCTGGCACAGACCACAGAGCACTGACCCTTGCCTTTCCAAAGCTGAATATTCTTGCTCTACTCCAGGAGGAGCTACTGTGAATTTTGAATCCAGCCAGCCTTGCCAGCCTTCCTGGAAGCCTCCAGGACAGCAGCTGCACCCATGCAGAGCCCAGTTAAACTGCCCGAGTAGGTGCAGAAGCTCTCAAGGTTTCA